TTATTTGAACGCGCGCCATTGGGCATCGGCTTTTTTAAACTGTTTTAACACTCAATCAACAAATGGAGAGTAAACTCCAATTAGTAGGGTGGCTTCTCTTGCAACAATCAGCTCCCAACAGGTTAAAGCAGGTTACATTCCATTAATACCCAATGTGCATTTCAGAATTTTTTGTCTGTAGTCAAAAAAAAACCAAACTTACTTGGGACTTGCGTTAGACGATCGTTTGTAAAGGCTTAGGAGGCTAATCAACGTACTCTTTGTAGCTTAGAATGCCGTGGAAGGAACTCGTTGAAGAAAACATCGCTTTCCCCCTGTCTTTCCGCGAGTGGGATCTAATGAGTCAAACCTACCCACTAACTAATACTTATCCCCCAATGCGTTTGATTCTCGTGTCCCCTTCAAATGAAGCCTCCAAACAAACATTTGATCTCCAATTCGATCCACCCAGTGCCTACTTCCAAGTTTGCGAGAGCTGCTATGAAGAAATTGAACTCGATCGATTGAATTTCAAGAATGCTCGCCTGTATTTTCGACTCTGTGACAATCCAGAAACTGCTATCAACTTGGATGCTGAAGAAATGGTAAACACCTACCTAAATTCTTTTTTTTCAACGTTAATTCGATTCGTTCCACACTTTCTTGTTACTTTTTGTGGTATTCCTAGCGATCTAAAGAGAGGGCCTCGATGACTGACAGGCCACGTCGCTCTTTAAAAAAACGTGATGATATTTGCGTTACTGTTAATGGTAGTATGACCCTGCTTACTTTACGATCATTACTCATTGAACATTTCAAAGCTTATCCCATGGATCAGCACTTGATAATAAACGTGAGACATTATGTTTAAAATAACATTTCTACTTATTGTATTTAAGTAGTAAATTACTTGTATTTCTGTTTAGGGCGTTGAATTACTGGATAATCATAAATCACTTTACCAATTGGGTATTAGACCGGATATGGTGATATTTGCCTGGGTCGATCCATCAAATTCTACAGTCGATTTAGATTATGAATTTCCTGACGGAGATGTTCCCCCAGGTGGCTCAACCAGAGGGAAAGGTAAAATTTGGGGCTATTTTTCCCCCTCTGTGTGTGTGTGTGTGTGCGTGTTTCTAAGCTGTCATCATGTTCATCTCTTCTTTTCCACTGTAGAAGTCGGCTTTGCTGGAACCCGATTGACAAACTTTTAAAACGAGGTATCTTTTGGCCCTAGTCAATATTGCTTTTGTACAAACCGCCAAGTACTTATTTACTTAGATGTATAAAAGGGAGAGTACGGAGAAGAATGTTATGTGCCTTTTACGGTATGTGTGTATACAAGTACTGTTTTGTGTGAATACTGCCGTGTGTGTGTGTGCCAATAAAATGGTTTTTTGCTTTAACCACTTTTTGCTTCGAATGAGCTACTAGTATTTTGGTGTATCATATGCTTGAATGCCCTATTGTAGAGACAGAGAGGGGGGGGGTTGCTGGTATTTTGGTGTATCACGTGACTAAATGCCCTCTTTTGAGGGGTTTTAAAACTTCCTATGTGGTCTGAAGATTAAGTCCTTCGAGTGCCGTATTGAAATAAATGCAAAAGACGGGAAACTCTGAGTTGTATATACAAATGCAAGGTCTCTAGGGTTTGCCTTGTCCAAAATCCAGGTTTCTGGACATCAATGTCGTTATTCTGCCAACACACGCGTGGTATGAATTTGTTCTCAAGACCATTGCAAGTAGGAAAAGCCACTTCTAGTCTATATGCGACTGAGTGAGTTGATCGATTCTTCCCTCTTCCACGTTTTCTAGTTTGGGCACCCGATCAGTATTCTGCTGATTAACATTTGGAAACCTCTTTCTATTCCCCCCCCCCTCCTCCCACCTCCACCATTTGGTTAGTCTGCTTTATCCTATTCACTTGCATCATTCGTGGTGTGTGATAGACTTACCTCCACGTGGTGCACCCTGGACAACGTATACTCATACGGCAAAAAAGTCTATTAACCGGCAGTTGACTTCTCACTTCAAACTACCATGACCCCACTCTATGACATATTCCTCCACTTTACAATACTTTACAATATATATATATATATATATATATATATATTGATAGTTATCATTAGCCCTTTAGTTGACTTCGGGCTTCACAGAGGGGAGGCGGAACATCGAAATGGGAAGAATTCGGGAGGGAAAACAGAAGAA